TGTATAAATCTAGAATGAATTACTTACATCATTTGTGAACACTTATACAGGCAAGTGCTGTGACCAGGAGTTGAAGTGAAGCCATTAATCAGAAACAAAATAGCTTGGTAGAACTGGGGAATTGTGGTAGTCAGAGTGCATTTGTGTTTATATCTCTCATGGTATCTTTGTGAAAATCAAATGGGGAAGTGAGCATTTAGATGAAAATACTAAAAAAAAAAACCCTTTAAGTTGTGTAGTTGACTAAATTTTTGGACCATATAAAATAAAATCAAAAGAAATAAATGGTAAAACAAATGGAATAATCTAAATTGAATTGTAGGGCAGTGTTTCCTAAACAATATGCTATCAACTTCTACATTGTTAGGATGTGTTTTATCAGAGAATTCCAAGAATCAATTCCATATCTATGTTTTAGACAATCATGCATACACATGAACATATTAACGACTGAGAAGCCTGTAGGGGGAAACCTATTCACTATTATCAGACTCAGCAGTTCCCAAACATATTTGACCAGGTGACCTTATCTAGGAAAGACCTTTAATATCTTCTAATATTAATGTTCTACCAAACTTAAGTGGGCTTAGAGTCGTAAGCTCCAAACTATCAGTGATAGCCTGGGTTTGAGATACTGAGTAGAACAATGCTGGGGTTAAGGATTTACTATTTAGAACCAAACTGAATGCAAAAGCAGTTATACCACCTATGAGCTAAATGGCCATAGGAAAGTTATTTAACCTCTTGGTGGCTTGGTTTAAAGTGAAAGTAGTAATAAGCCTATGTTACAGAACTGCTATGAAAATGTTACACACATATACATAATAACATGTATATATGTAAAACAACATTGCATTCAGAAATATATATCTAGTAATTCTTACTGAACAGTTAATAAGTAATCTCTCTGAGGCTTTTATATGCATTAAGTCATTTAAATTTCAGAATTACTCTATTAAACAGACACCATTTCTATTCCCATTTTACAGATGAGGAACTGAAACACAGAGTAGGTAAGAGACTCTCAAAACCACAGCCTTGTCGCTCCACTTGGCTGACTCAGAGGTCAGAGAGCAGTAAGTGCCATGACACCTGTCAGTATCAGCATGATGTTTTAAAGGGCTGGAAAGAACTATACCAAACTCATAACAATGTTGCCTTGGCCAGGAAGATGCTAGATGGTCAGAATTGAAGGAAGATCTGAAAGTCTTGTAAATGCCTTCCTTAAGGAGCAATATGTTAACATAATTTTTGAAATCATGATCACACATGAAAAAATGAAAATGAATATGTCAAAATGTTAACAGTGGTTGTTGGTGAGTAGGGAGAATATGGGCAGTTAGTGCTTTTGTACTTTTGATACAGTTTTCAATTCAAAGAAAGAATATCTGTAGATAGACACCCTTAAACACACACAAAAATGGGGGAAATGACTAGAATAAGAACTTTTTTTTTACAAACTCCAGACATGATTCAGAAATGCAGGGACAACTATATTTGGCAGAGATGTGGGTGTGATAGAGATAAGAACCCTTCTCCACTTCATAGTAGCTGTGGGCTCTTGAGAGAGTTACCTCACCTCTCAGAACCTCAGTTCCTTCACCCTAAAAGCAAGAGCACTGCCTCCTGCACTGAGTTTAGTGAGGATCAAATCAAGAACCTGATGGACCTGACTTGTCATATGATGTGGTTCCACGAATACTAGAATTTGTTTTCTCCTTTTGTTCAGCACTTTGAATGACTACAACTTAACTCCTGAGTTTTGCCAGGCTGTTGACAAGGGTAGGTGTGCTGGCCTATGTAAGTTCTAGGACAACTTCTGAAATAGAGGAAAAACAACACACGCTAACAACCCTTCACAAATTATCCAGTACGGTGAGCTCTGTTTCCTTCTTTGTAAAATGGATGCAGTAACATCACTCAATGACTGGAGCAATTGAGATTTTAGATTATGTCTGAAAGAATTCTCTTTCAATCTATTCCTCCCTCCCTTTTTCCCTCCTTCCCTCCCTCCCTTCCTCCATCTCCCTCTCTTTCTCCATCCAGTTCTGCTAATGTATTACTTGTGGCTTATCTATTAGATTGCAAATATCCCCTTCATTTACTATTACTTAATCTATTAACTCTGACCTCAGCCCAAGGGGCAACCTCTCGAGGACAAAATATGATGAACTGTGTAATACAAAGGCTAAACATTTGCAGCAGAGCATTTTTATAGACACACTCCTTCTCAGGAGCAGTTTGTCACTCAGAAAGTACTGTCTATCTTTTGCACATGCCCTGTTTGCTCTCCTTCAGGCATCCATTTACCCGGCATCACCACCACTCCAGACAACCAGGTTTAACAGTTTTTTTTAACAGTCTTCATTTTCTAGAACAATTTTAGAGGAACATGAAATTGAAGTAATAGGGCTGGATTGTATCTTAATAGTAGAGTTCTTGCCTAGCATATATAAGACCTGGCTGTGATACCTAGCACTGAGAAAAGAAAGGAGAGGAGGGGAGGTGAGAGGAGGGGAGGGGAGGGGAGGGAAAAAGGGAAAGAAAAGAACTTAGAGTAAAAATTAGTTGGCTTAAAATATTCCTTCTTAAAATGTAGGATAAAAGAGTAAAGATATTCTAATTTTCTTTGCTTATATTTAAATGTAATTTTATTCTTACTTGAATAATTGGTATATATAAGATTCTGGGTCTACTAAGGATATAAAGATGGCTGAGACAAAATTCCTTTCCTGAGAAATCATCCTCACAGCCAAACAGAAACACATACGCATAGCAAAGCAAGTCGGTCCTGCTGCTATCAAAAGCAACAGAGAGGACAGTAACTCAGTCAAGGAAGGCCTGATGCAAGAGGTCTGAGACTAGGCCAGCTTCCTGGATGCACAACCTCCGTGAAGTCCCATGGAGCTCGCACTTCATAATGTGTATGTTTTAAGGCTCTTTGCAGCCTTCTTGAAATTCTCAATAATGTATCTTTGAATTAATGCTTGGTAAGCCAAAGCCAATGGAAAGCTGAAGCATGTGCTGGCTGTGTCCTGTGTAACCCCACCTTCTGTCCCCTCTCACTTCTCAGCATGGGGTCCAAGGAGCTTGCTCCCAGCTCCCTAGCACTGTGGCCCCACTTAACCTCACTCTCCCTGGGCTCACCTCACCATCTTCCCAGAGCTGTGACTAGGGGCCACGAAGTTGGTGGGGAGGCCCAGGTTCTGCCAGCACTGTCTCCACCTGCAGATTGAGCAGGTGATTTGGTGAATGACTTGGCCAAGCATAAGCTTCTCTTCCAACCCCCAGCCAGAGGTTACAATCTCTTGGCGGAATCACTCTGTGGGATGCTGTAGCAGGACCATAGAAGGAGAAATGGACTTGCCACCCTTGATAGGAACATGGCTATCAGTCCAGCAACTAGGGGGCCACAGTACCTGAGAAAACGAAAGACAATTAAATAGCCAACAAAAACCCCATGACCAGACAAGAGAGACTGCAGAAGAAAAAAGGTTTAGAGCTTAGTGCTTTTAACAGCACTTTTCATCCCCACCCAATTGTAAATAAATCCAGTGTCGTCTGGGGCAGTATTGAATAACAGCTAAATGTGAAAGATTCTAGAATCAGAATGGCTGGGTTCAAATAGTATCTCCAGTAGTACAGCTGTGTGACCTTGGGAAAGTTACTTAACTTCTCTAAGCTTCAGTTTTTTTTCTCTGAATATCAGGAACAGAAGCAGAAGCAGCTCCTATCTCATGCTATTTTTATAAGATTAAATGAGTCTTGTCTATAAGTCTACCATCATTCAGAGACTTCCCTGTGCTCCACCCCTGTTCCACAGTTGCTAAGAACAAGATCTGTTAAATCCTAAAAGAGACAGCTTCTCTTCCTTACAACTTCTGTGTATTCCCCCACCCCTTCCCAAGTTCTGAGAACATCATAGATTTTTGTTTGGCTTGGGGTTTTTTGGTGGTGGCACCAAGGACTGAACTCAAAGCCTTGAAGGCAAGCACTCTTCCACTTCAGTCATGCTTCCAGTGCATCATAGGTTTTCATGAGATATCTCACTATACCCAGGCCCATCCTTGAGATTTGTTGAATTTGTTGATTACATGAACAAAAACACCTTGTTTGTGCCACCCTGGCCAATATGTTGCTCATGACAACCCATCTGCTGGAGACATTGTGGAAACATAGAGGAATGCATGCTCAAACAGCAAGCTCCAGGCTAAAACATTAGCAAAAGACTTGGGAGGAATCTGGATTAGAAAACCATGTCTAGCTAAAACCCAAATCAGTATTTCCTAAATTCTATTTGAAGATGCTACTAAATGTTCTTTAAGTTAAGGGAGTTTAAAGTAATAAACTTGGAAAATAGTACACACATTCCCCATTTAGAATGATCTACTATACATTGAGTTTTATAGACTAAAATTTCTAAAATAAAGAAATCACATGAAATGATGCAACCTCAAGTTTCTCTATCACATTGATCGTGGAACCACTTTAATCGTAAGACATCTACCAATATCCTCAAGAAATTTAGCTGTTTTCTAGAACAAAGTTTGTGGTTAAACTGTTTGAAGAAAGCAATGGTGTCTTATTATTATTACCTTATGTCTAGTCATAGAATTTAGCAAATTAAAGAATTAATGACTTTCTTTTTTTTTAACCTAGTCTTTAACTGTAATCATCCGTAACACATGTCCCAGCATTTTACAAAACACATGATCTCATCACAAAGGCCCAGCTGAAGCTGACAAGGCAGGAGTCATCAGTAGCATATTACGAATGGAGAAACCCAAACTCAGAGAGATTAAATGACTTAACAAAGCTACACTGTTGGTTAATGTAAGAACCGTGGTTGAAAAAAAATCAAGTCTTCCAATTCTAGATCTGTGTAGTTTTGTTAAATCATTCCAATTCTAGATCTGTGTTCTTTTTGCTACATATAACTAGAAAACACCACAGCAGTTTTCTCTGCCATTATCCAAGACAGACATTAACAGAGCACTTACCTCAAATAAGCGTAAGACTTTGGCCAGTGCACCAACTTCTTCTTTGAGTGAGAATATCAAGGAGACAGCACCATTTTCATTGCCGTTATCTTCAATGTAGCTTGTTTCCTACAGGATTACATGCATTTGGGTAAATTTTTTCCCTCAGTTTAGCAATTAATTCCCATGAAACGTCCAAGAAAGAGGCAAGCATGAAATTTTTCTTCTCATTAAGCCTTGGAATATAATGAGTTACATGAGTTCTATATAGATGTAGGTTATGTGGTGGAAAATCAGTAAGCCAAAGGCAATGAAATGATCAAGGATACTCCTGGGTGAATTTTCAATTTTAAGAAGCTTCAATTATTCACTGATTAGCCACCAGTCAACCCTATAGATCTCATATCTTGTAATGAGCACCTACTAAATGCCAGGCACTATTCACATTGTATCTTTAAGAGATATAAATATGAATAGGCCAAGGCCCCTTATCCTGTAGGAAGCAAAATCCTGAATTAACAGACACACATACAACAAAACAAAAGATCCTGAGGTGATATAATATGGTACAAAAGTGTCTCAGTAGAACATTGAGACATAAACTGTTCAAAGTACTAAAAACAGATCAATAGAACATCCAAAGGCTTTTGAGTCCAAAGACCTGAGTTTGAATCCTCTTTTCCATTTACCACCTGCACCACTTTGGGCCAACCACTTAGCCTTCTTAATCTTCTCACCTGTAAAATCATGCCAATAATAAGCCCTGACAAAACAATAGTCAGATGATAAGAAAAGAAAAATATGCAATTAAATAGAATGTTAAGGAAAGTATATAAAAGTGATTTTTAAATAGTATGCAAATGATCTCTCAACCTTGGGAAAAAAATCTTAAGAAATAATTTGTTCCAATATTCTGGGACCTGAGATATGTAATTGCTGAAAAAGAGTTCCAAATATATAAATGTACACACATAACCTATCAGAAGATGGATGTCTTTAACTAAATAGTAAAGAATGTCAAAGATCTAGCACATAGCTCATGCATGTAACAGCAAACTAAGGTGGGATTAGGGTGGGCACTCCAGAGTTTGCTAAAATATTTCCTATGTCTTAAAATAATGTACAAAATTGGAGAACAAAAGGACAGAACATGTCCGGTCTGGGGGGTTGTTTTCAGTTGGTAGGGAGAGGATGTGGGGAAAGAGTGTGGTAGGGTAAATATAGTTCAAATACTGAGTACACATGTATGTAAATAGAAAAAGGATACCTAATGAAACTAATCCAGGAATGGGGGAGTGGGGAACAAAGGAGAATGATGGAGGGGATGAATTCAACTATGATATATTTGATACATGGTAAGAACTTTCGTAAATGCCACAATGTACCCCCACTCATCACAAAAAAAAAAAAAAAGTCAGGTCCATAGGTCCAAAGGTACCGACTAAAAATGCAAATAAATAAAATAAAATAAAATTATATGTGTGCCCACCAGTATATATCATATTCCTAAAACTGGGAAGAAGAAACTGCAGAACAATTCCTCTCTTGTAAGCAAGTGAATGACATTAATGAAATGGGTATTACATCATCTCCGTGAGAAGAAGCTGTGTTGGACAGATTCTTATCAGTGATTTGAACTAATAAACCTTGCATGATACTGATGACCTTTAGGACAAAATTCTTTCAATTCAGAAAATTCAAATTTTCCCAGAATCTCACATGAAAAAGGAGCATGGGGGAAGAATCAAATTTATCAGCATGTGGGATTATAGAGAATTTCTAATAAATTAGAAGATTGAACTGTTATATATCCCTGTTTGGACCATGATGCTATCTTTCTTTTAAAAATTAATGTAGCATTTATTAAGAGTCTAAAAGGTCTTAGGTATTGATTTGGATTATCTCATTCAACTTTGAAAACAATTAGAAGACAGGTTTTATTATGTACCAAGTTCCCCCTTTTACTGGTGACAAGATTAAGGCATAGAGAGGCAAAGTAACTGGCCCATCATTATGCAGTTAGTAATGGAGCTAGTATCTGAACCATACATTAAATCCTGTATACTAGGTATAAATCACAGCCTGTTGCAGACCCTCCCCCTCTCTCTTCTAAACCCTGCCAGAGATGGTAGGCTCTGACCTTAGTCTCTTCTTCCTACCAGAGAACATTGAGCCCTTAGCCCTTTCCAGTTGTCTTGAAATGACAAAGGATTTCCCTGTTTCTAGTTCACTTGGCAAGTTTCCTTTTCCTGTTGACCTCCAAGAAAAGTAATGAATTCCCAACACATCTCAATAGATGCCACCTTGTACTAGAGCAGTTCAAACCTGAATGCACCTGAGTTGAAAGCCAGTCATCACCCCCAACGTCACCCCACTTCTGTGTGTGTCTAGTCAATCACCAAGTCCAATGCCATCCTCCCCATAGATAACCTTGAAATCTGGTTCTTTTTTTTTTGTTCACAGTGGTCTGTATTAAACATGCCTTAACAGAGACTTGCCAAGTCCTTCTGCATTTTCAAAACTATCCTAGATAATTTTTCCCATAGGAAATTTCAAAAACACTGATAAATGTGCAGTCTATGTTTTTAAATTATGACTTTCCCAAAAGATATTTGCAAATTCACATTTATTACCTGTGTTGTTATTAGTGTCCACACTAGGATCTGCCACTGACTAGGCGCCCACTATTTTCGGAACCATACAAGATTTTACAATTTTACAGATACCAAACTAGGCCTCCTCATTCCAATCAAGTGACTTTTCAATATATGGCTTAGGTAGATCAAAGATGGAAACTCAGGTGTCCAGCAGACTTTCCATGACTAGGCCACATCTGGCATAGTCCCCGCCTCCTTGCCCATTCTTCCTGCCTCTGTCTGAGATGCATTTTGTTGATCAAACAAATCAGTTCTGACTTGGCATACACTGATGCTCCGGGAACTGTACTAAGGTATTTGTAGACATTGTTTCATTTAATTCTCATACCAACCCTAGGACATAGATATTTTTATTCCTATTTTGCAAATGAACAAATCCAAGACTCTGCAAGTGAAATACTCTGCTTTTGATGCTGAGATTGTACCAAGGAATGCTCTTTACTCATGACCCTATCAGTGGTAATGACAGTTTGTGGGTTCTCGATCATCTAAGTGCTCTATAAATAAAACTTTCAGCCCCCATGGCACTCCCACTAGATTGCCACCCTGACCCCATTTCATAGCTGTGGGGATCCCATTGCCAGCAGCCAGGAGCTCAATGGAGGATACAGTCAGGATCTGTTCTGGAACCTATCTACCTCTCCTGCCACCCCTCTTCAATATGAAGTTCTCCTCACTCCCAAGTAACATACACTATTTTCAGAAGTCTTTCTCTTAGGATCTAAAAAGAGCCAGTCCAGAGTTCTGTATTCCCTTCAGTTATGCTAACTCTACCATCAACTCTTCTCTTCTTTCCACACATCCTGTTTTCTACAGACAAGGGCCTCCCTAGTCCTACAGCTGACAGGTGCCTGCAGACTTAGCTCACTTGCAAGGTCCGAATTTCAGAGTCTAGCAGCATGATTTTCTGCCCTGGATGAGTACATAAATCAAGTTAAAGAATGTGATCCTCAACTGTTCAAGAGGTCAGCAAATCCTGGAGAATGGATTCCCCTCTGGCACATTTAGGGGTGACTCTTGTTTATTTTCCTCTCTGCTTAGTTTCTACCTGCCCAGATCTGAATAAGTCTCCCAATTCTATTCATACCTCATCTTCTTCCCCAAAGAGAAAGTCTGATCCAGTTTTCTTACAAGTTTGCCATTTCCATAACCAGCTGAGAGTGTTGAATAAATATCGCAGAAGAGATCTAGAAGGATCCCCATCTCCCACCTCAGATCATTAAGGACCAATCCTTTCAATATATAGAAGACAAAACAGATAGCAGAAAGACAGTGATTTATCCAAAATACACAGCTAGTTGGTGGTAGCTCTGGAAGTCAGATCTTCAACCCCCTAAGTAGGTTTCTTGCCCCCTGAAAAACACACAGGAGAGATGTGCTTCCACCTGGAAACACTGGCTGAGGACAATCTTATCTGTTGATTCCAGCACATTCTCATCATTTCAAATAAATTCAGCCTTCTTGTTGGGCTTATGAAACTTGGAAACGTCAGTATTTCTCAGATCTCTTTCAGAGCTGGGGAGCCAAATCTTCCTGAGTAGCTGAGACCCACCCTGGCTCACCTGTCCACAGTCAGAAAATTTTCTGCCCACACCTCGGTTCTCCAAGATCACAGCTGACATGCTGGCACCCAGCAAGTGAGATCTCTCAGTCTAGATGGCAGGTGCTAGCATATGGGGCTGAAGATTTTAACCAGGCATCAGGGAGCAGAGGTTCCAAAGGGTGTCTCCTGCAGAGTAGCTGGCTCTGTCACGCCTCCAGTGGGCGTTGTCCTGATGCAGTGGGCCAGAGCAGCTAGCATCCAGCTCCAGGTCACCTGTCCTTGCTTGTTCTGAGGAGAGGAGTCAGGAAGGATGTGGCAGACACAGGAGTACATGCTTGGCAGACACAGGAGTACATGCTTGGCAGCTTGCCCTGAACACCCTGGATAGAGGGAAAAATCCAGAGAGGACAGGGCCACCTGCGCTCTGGCAATTAGATAAGTTTGGCACTTCCAAGGACTCTCAGGAGCTTGGCATGTGAACTCTTTGCAATTGGAGTCAACCTGGGACAACCTAATAATAAGTTATGTGAATAATTACCGCTTCGCCAATAGAAGCAGCACAAACGCACAATGCCTTGGCACACACTGTCTTTAGAAAAGCACACGTGATGATGTTGTGAAGCTGAGGACAGCAGAAATGGAGCAAGGATGAGAACCACCTGGGTTGAAATCACGCCATCGGTTCTTGAGATGGGGACGCTGAACAAAGAGTAGTAGAGCTACCTTGCAGGGGTGTTTGAAGTATGAATGTTATAGGAATGAGGTGGCCTTAAACATTTGTCACAGTTCTTGCTACATAGTTGAATGCTTAGTCAATGGAAGACATTTTTCAAAAGTTTGTCCTCATACATGTGACAACAGATAGTTATTGAGGACCTATATTATGTGTCTGGTGGTGTTCTAAGCATTGAGGATACAGCAGGGAACAAAATAGAAGACCCTGTCTCTCTGTCATGCTGCCATTCTAGTAGGCAGATGAAATAGATACATTTAGGTAGGGCTAAAACTTATGGAGAATATGAAGTAGGGTCACAAGCTAACAGTAAGTTGGTGGAGGCTGGGGTGTGATCTTCAAGGAAGCAGGAGGATGTCATGAATCCCATTTCTCAGATGAGGAAGCAAAGGTGAGGCATTAGTTGGTAGCAGGAAAAACAAAAACAAAATATAGAAGAACACTTGGACAGTTGGAGTTTCAGAAAGATGTGAAGAGTCAGGGGCGTTGTGTGCCTGCTTAATATTTACCTAGGTGAGGCTAACGGACTGTAAGAAAACAAGCCAATAATAGACAGTCCTAGAAATCCACCCATACCCTCCCACAATCCTTTGACCTAATAACAAAGAATGTGCCAAGAAAGAAAATCAACGCTTAGGCTTGGGATTCCAAGTTAATTCCTGATTTGACCACTGATTAGCATTGCAGTTTTACTCAAGTACATGCCTTGGTTTCTTATTATTACAATGGGGATTTAAGGGTTATTGTTTAGGAATCCTTGAATGTGTATAATGTGCGAAGCTTTCCACTGACTGCTAAAAGAACAAGCACAGTAAGTACAATTTCTATCCCAAAAGAGTCCTATGAGTACTATGCTCTATGGTAAGTTGGAAGTTCAATGTTGTTGAACATGGAAGACCAAGACCTAGACTTAACCCTCAGAAGAGTCTGTATCCTTTATCTGACTCCAGTATTCTCTTAGTGTACTAGATGTGAAATGTAATGTTTTCCCCAGCCTTAGGACTACCTTACAAGCATCATTTCATCCCTTAGTTCTACTGGCGTACTACAGAGTGCAATGACTTTGACAGCACCTGAAATGTAACATGCACACCATAAATGAAGGCTGACAGTAATAGACATTTATTTGCATGCACACTGTGCCAAGCTCTCCACATGCGTGATGTCATTTCTGCCTCTCAACAATCTTAGGAACAATGCGTCTCTTCTGAATAGATAAAGCAACAGACACCCAGGAAGTTCAAATCAATAGCTCAAATTCAAATAATGCCTGACCTGACTCCAAGTCCCTGGCTCTTAAACACTCCTTCTTTCTTGATAAAAATGAGCACAACATGATTTTTAGAACAAAATGATAGTCTTGTTTTCTCTCCATATAGGAGCTAAAAATGGAATTCTTAATCCTGTTTTACTTAAAGATGCCCCAGATCTGGGTTGAAAGCAAAGCACATTTAATTGTCTGCTATCTCAAAAAGCAAAAACAAAAACAGAAAAAAAGCCACTAATGATCTCTTTTAAAAATTATTCTGACTGGATGCTGGTGGCTCATGCCTATAATCCTAGCTACTTGGGAGGCTGAGATGTGGAGGATCTCAGTTTTCAGGCCAGCTATGGCAAGGAGTTTGTGAGATCCCATCTTAATCAATAACTGGGTACAGTGACCCAACAATACATGGGAGGCTGAGATCAGGAGGATTGCAGTTTCAAGCCAGCCTGGGCAAAAAAAAGTTTGCAAGACCCCACATCCATAGGAAAAAGCTGGGTGTGGTGGTGGGTACCTGCCATCCCAATGATAAAGAGAAACTTAAAATAGGAGGATCACAGAGAAAAACAAGACCCTAACTCAAAAATAACCAGAGCAAAGTGGGCTAGAGTCATGGCTCAAGCAATAGAATGCTTGCTTGCCTCACAAATGAGAATCTCTGAGTTCAAACTTCAGTACCACCAAAAATAAATAAAATTAAAAATTATCTATGAGCCAAGATAAAATTCACTTAGTATGTGATCATGACATAAACTTTGTAGATGGCTGAATGTAATAAAATGCATTGCTATAAATAACAAGGGAGTGCTAAGAAAATCATTGAAAGTACAAATCTAGAATTGCTCACAGTTTATAGACCACTGAGATTCTATTATAGCCATGCACAAGTGGGCACCATGTTGCAAGATGAACATGCCAGTTTTGTACCTGGCAGCCTGAGAGCTGACTGTCACTGATTTGGAAGTTGAAAATTTCCCAACCGTTGCTGGCTTATCGACTCCTTATTTAATCTCATGTGTAGAGAGTTGAGTTAATCATAATCCATGGGTTCATGACAAATAATCAAACCCACCAAGTCCCCTCTCATTTTATTTATTTTCCCTTTTATCTTGATTTCTCACTCCCATCACCTTTCCCCAGGTGCAACTTCTCTAATGTGTTTAATATTATATGTATTTATAAAATATATAGGTTTGTGGTTGTATATGTTTTTCATGGCTGTGTGATGTTGCCCTATAGATTTATTATAGTGTATAGATATATGATAGCTCCAAATGTTTTTCTTTCAATTGTCTTCTTAGGATGTAGCATGCTGCAGAATGTTTATCTGGATTTTTGCTTAGTTGCTTGTTCTGATGTGGAATCTTCCTTGGTGTATATCTACCTATTTGACTACTCCATTCTCCAGTGAAGGGGACACATGGTTGAATATAACTCTCCACCAACCCAAACAATGCTAGGATGAATATCCTCAATCTCGTCCCCTTACTGGTCTGAAGGAGAATTTTTCTGGGGTAGTATAGTGAGGGTCTGAATTCTACTGAACATACATTCTTAATTTCACAAAGTACTGCCGGATTGTCTTTTAAAGTGATAGTATCGGTCCAAACTCCCATAGCAGGCAAAAGAGTTCCAGTTGCTGGGTATTCACAGGACTTGTTGTTCTCCAAAAGTCATACTTTTTTTTTTTAGTTTTGCTAATCTGATCAGCATGAAGCAGTACCTCATTGCTATTTTAAACTCACATTTCTCTTATAGCTAATGAATTAGAGCATCTCTTTATACACTGACTCTTAGATTTCTCATGCTGGAAATGGTTCTTGGTCATATGCTTTGCTCATATTTCCTATTATGATTCCTTTTTTTTTTCTTATTGATTTGCAGCAGTGGTTTTTATAGCATAGCTATTAACCATGTACTTTTCTTAGTCACTGAAGTTGCCACCTCCCCATACAGCACTGTTAGTTGCTGTGAACTGGAATCCTTTCCAGAGATATTCTGTCCTTCTTTTTCCTATCATCATTACAGGTTTACCTTTCATTGTTAGATCTTTAATCTATGTGTATCTTTGTTGTATGTGGACTATATAAAAACCCAGTTGTTTTTCCTCTTTCTCCACATCCTGAGTGAACACCATATACAGAGATTTTTACCCATTGACAGTTTTTATGTCTGAGATGAGATGAAGGGATCTCTTTTCAGAGATCCATGGTAGAAGATACTTCTTTGACTTTTGGTACCACATGCCCAATTTATCAAGCTCCCATTTATACTTGAGTCAGCCTGAGTTTCATTTTACTCCATTGGTCTATTCTATGGTGTATCTTCTCATGTCATAATCATCATGAGTTTATTACTACAGTAATGTTTGGTCATATATCTTACTATCTGGTTGGCAAGTCCCCCTTCTTGCTCTTATTCTCCTTAAGATTTATTTATTTATTTATTTATTTATTTATTTATGCACATTTATTCTTCCAAGGGCCAGCTGAAATTTTGATTGGTCCAGCTCTGGATTTATTGGCTAATCTGGGCACACTGTATACACAGTAGTAGTCATAGTTGGCATAGATGCTACATCTCAATTTTACTATTAATGCAGCCAATAAAGCCCTCCATTAATATGCTTGATGCATGTTTTTGATGTTATAACCATCACCGAAGTGCAAGATCCTCTCTCTCTAGGGTGCTGAGGTGTGTTTGTTTTTATCGTCAGTATAGATTAGACCATGCCTTTTCTACATCTACTGAGAATATTATGTGACTACTTTTTTTACTTTATTAAAATGACAAAATTACCTCAATAGAGTTTTCAGATGTTAAATTATCCTGGCATTCCAGGATAAACCTTATTTTGTTCTGAATGTATTAATTTTAGTACACAATTAAGCATATTTGGCTCATATTCATGTAGGACTTTTCCATCTTATATTCATTACTGAAATGTCATTACTTCTATTGTCTTTATCTCATTTTGAAATCAAGGCTACAGTAGTTTTAAGTAAGAAGTTGTATATCTTTCCTTATTTTTAAATTTTTTAGTATAACCTATAGAATTTAGAAATTATTTAGTAGGCTCTCTTGTAGATACACTGGGTCT